AATTTGCAGTAGTAAAATGAACAAGAGTAGAGAGAACAGCACACAAATGCAGAAAACAAAAACTGAACAAACAAACAAACAAAAACTTCAGGGAGCTGTTAAGTGTCCTAAAAGATAAATGATTGAGCAAAACAAAAGCTATAAGAAGGGGAATCCCACAAGAGGTGGACAAGTCTATCACAGAATCTGGTTGCTATGGTTAGATGCTTGTGCCCTCTCCCGAACTGTGCATTAAAGCTAGAAGTGATCAGGAGGTAATCAGGTCATGAGGGTTCTGTGCTCATGAATGGGATTAGTGCCTTACTGGGGTTCCAGGGAGCCCATTCATCCCTTTTTGTCTGTCTGCCACATGAAGACACAGCCAAGAAGTGTCATCTATGGAGCAAAGAGTGGGCCCTCTCCAGACACCGAATTCATCTGCACCTTGATCTTGAACTTCCCAGACAAGTCTGAGGTCTTTTGTTATAGCAGCCAAATGGAGTAAGACACCAGGAAAGAATTAAGAAGTACAGGCATTAGAGATTGCAGGATGTGGAGGTACAGAATGGGAAAGAAAAAAACAGAAGGTAGATTTAAATTATTTAAAAAGAACAGTCAGGCCTCCAGATCTCATTCCCCAGGGCCAGGCAGCTACCATTCACCTTCCCTGACAAAGGATGAAACAAATGTGAACATGCCAAACAGTGCCTCTCTCCTGTCTGGGCCAACAGTCAGAATGTGGGCAGTCAGGTATGAGTCATCCCCCAACCCAAAACACTACCAAAAGGCAGATAAATTCCTAGAAAGTGTCAGAACCTACAAAACCTTCATCACATGGGCAGGTCCTTGCTTGATCGCATTACCAAGAAGTCAACGCACACCTCAATCCCTGCTTATATGCAGAGTTTACAGACCACTTTTTTTTAATATTTATTTTTTAGTTGTATTTGGACACAATACCTTTATTTTGTGTATTTATTTTTATATGGTGCTGAAGATCAAACTCAGGGCCCCGCATATGCGAAGTGAGCGCTCTACCACTGAGCCACAACCCCAGCCCTTATAGATTACTTTTTAAACTCATTCTTAAATAGGAACAAAGAACCAAAATCACTAGATGTTTGATAAACACCTCCAAAATAAAAGAGAGGGCCAAAAACAAACAGAAGTAGGAACCCACAATAAACAGACATACTTGGGACTCAGGAAAGGAGCAATACAGAAAAGGATGAAGAAAGAACTCACATTCATGAAATACTGGATTCTGGATTTTAAAAAAAATCGAAATATTTTTTCCCTAAAATCAGCACCTATTTTTAGAAATTAAAAATGAGAACCAAAAAAAAAAATAAAAGTTAACAGAAAAACTGAAAGGTATAAATTGGGAAAATCTAGCAGAAAGCAGACAAAAAAGGTAAAGAGAAAGGCAGGAATAAACAAATGGAAAAAGAAAAAAGTTAAAACATATTCATGAAATGATACAAGAAATATAAGAAAATTTCTGAGAAATAAAAGACAATTATTCTGGTTGAAAGGACTCAAAAGGAACCCAGCAGAGAGTCAGGGGGAGGGGAATCAAAAAACCACACCACACTAAACACTAAAAAAAAAAAAAAAAACACCATATGACTTAAGTCGAAAAACAGATGGCACGAGATCTTTCCACTGCAAGACTGGAAGCTAGAAGGCAATGGAGTGATGATGTCCAACATCAAATGACACCAAAAAATATTTCCCAAACCAGCACCATCCCAAGCAAATGCAATGGAGTGTGAGGTATAATAATGACACCTTTGCAAATACACAAAGCATCCAATCATTTGCCCTTGATGTGCCCTTTTTCTCAGGAAGTTCCTGGAAGATGAACATAGGCGGGAACAGACCAAGAAACCCCCTAAAATGACAGAGCAACCCCAAAAGAGGATGACAGATGATACAGCCTTCAGGAAACATGGGATCCAACAAAGGAAAGAAAGGGACTTCAAAGGTACGAGGTCCTAGTAGTGCAAGTGATGGCCTTAAAGGAGCCTGAGAAGCCAGCAGTTCAAACAGGAAGAACAACAAGGAACAGAAGAAAGGACAAGGTGGATGGAGGACAGACTTGTATGCTTCTGTAGGTACTGAGAGAAGATCTGTGATCTGTCAGAGTTTGAAAATGAATTTATGATAAATAAATAAATAAAGGAACAAAACCACATTAACTCCACGAAAAAAAATATACATTGTTTGATAAAGGAAACAGAATATAGTCTTAGCTGTAAATAATAATAAAACCACTGAGAACTGATTTAAATATAAATACAATTGAAGTATATGAGGACAATAGGGGTAGTGAAATTACAAGAGGAAAGAATAATAAGAGAACTGGTTTCATCTTCCATGGCAGGACATTCGAAAATATCCTAAGCACCAGAGCACAACAGGATAACCACATTATTAGGAAATACAAAGGTAACTACATGAGAAACAGCTAAAATGGTTCAAAGCAGTTGTCACTAGAGAAAAGAAATTGCAGTGGGGAGGGTTAGAGCACTAGCAGAGGCAGACAGAACTATAATAATATTTGGCTATTTAAATATGTCTGTATTCCATTTTGATTAAAAAAATTAAATGAATGAATGACAGGTAAAGAGAAAGGGCTTACAGACGTTTTCTTTAAGAAGTATAAATACTCTAGCAAAAAAAATAATCTACTGGTCAAGAAATATATTTTTAGTTAATTTTTTTTTTTTGAGTTTGCAGAAATATTGAAAGGGAAGAAACCATGAGGAAGAAATCATTAAAGTAGCAGGAAGGTGACAGAGCATCGAAAGGAAGAAGGTCTCCAAGGAGGAAGAGAATAAGTGCAGCCACATCAGCCTAGACAGAAATACAGAGTTCTTCCTCAGTGGACAGGGTAGAGGACGCAGGAAGGAGGAAAGGAAAATAGGTAGGTGAGGAAGAAACATCTCATGGCTAGATGGTGGAGACATAGCCTGACGTCTCTACATGGGAATGAAGTAAAGAAGTAAGATCGTGAAGGCACCTTAAGAAAATGGCAAGTACAGGCTGGGACTCAGTGGTAGAGCACTCAGTGGTAGAGCACTGAGTGGCAAAGCACCTGATTAGCACATAGGAGGCCCTGGGTTCGATCCTCAGCACCACATAAAAATAAATAAAATAAAGGTATTGCATTCAACTACAACTAAAATATAAATATTTTTTGGGAAAAAAAAAAGAAAGAAAATGGCAAGTCCTGCCAGTTGTAGGGGTGCACATCTATGATCTTAGCAACTCAGGAAGCTAAGAGAAACCCACGTTTGAGGGCAGCCTCAGCAACTTAGCAAAACCCTGTCCCCTGTCTCAAAATAAAACATTAAAAAGGGGTGGAGAAGGGCTGGGGTTGTGGCTCAGCAGTAGAGCACTCGCCTAGCACATGCAAGGGAGGCCCTGGGTTCGATCCTCAGTACCACAAAGAAAAATAAATAAAATAAAGGTATTGTGTCCAACTACAACTAAAAAATAAATATTTTTTTTAAAGCAGGGTGGGAATATAGCTCAGTGGTGAAGCACCTCTGTGTTCAATCCCCAATTACAAAAAAAAAAAAAAAAGAAAGATAAGTCCAATTTGATGAGTAAATTTGATTTTTGATTTTCACACTCATTCAATGTGGTATTTGTACATTATCATTTTCTATGCTTCAATACTTTATAAAAGATTCATATCATGTTTACACTAGAACTGTTAACAATGTGTTTTCACCATGATTCCTCAAGAACGCTCTTATACATTTGTATACAACCAAACTCATCATGGTGCCTAACATGAAATGACTTTTTGTTGTATGAATCTATAAACATTTATTTCCAGAAGTACAAATGGATATCCCATTCAGACTGTAGGCAGTCAACACATCATATCATACACATGTACTACCTTAAAGTGTTTTTATATGCCAGAACAGTCAGCATTCAATAACTTTACCATATACTTAAAAATAATATCTACTGTCCCATCATAGATAAACCTTCCCCAAAAAAATTCTGACTTAAGTTTTCTATGTCTCATGACGAAATATATACAAAACGAAGGATCTCTTAGGGTGATGCCCCCATGTTGACTATCAAAACAACAGGGAAGACTACATGGATCTACAGCTCTCTCATGGGTTCTAACTTAAACCTCGGAGACATTCATAATCAATAAAAAATCCATAGTTGGAAATCAATACCTGCCATACCTAATAATAAATCTAAACATTTTATGGCTTAAAGTATCAAATTTGTTGATTTGAAACTAATTTAAACACAATTTCTGTTTATCACGCATATCCTAATATTTGAAAATACTCTAATTTTACATTCTTTCCAAGAGGGAAAGATAGTTATTTTTTCACTACAAAAAAACATGATATTAATGCTAATTTTTAAATAAATCTGTTTATACTCAAAACTGATTTCCTTGAAAATTACTCTTTTTCCACAAAATATTTCAGATCCATCTCAAAGAGGTTCAGGTATAGAGGGAATTTAAAAAATAAATAAAAGCAAGAGCTTCATTTGCCATTTAAATGCTTTTAGTTTTTTGAGGATTTTTAGTGCTATTAATTAATGTTAGTTTAATAGAGACAACTAATTTGCAAAGTCTATCTCCAGTGCCAGATTATGTCAATGAGTTCTATCTTCAGTTTCACAAAGTTGCAAAACAGAATTATAATTATCTAAATGATTTCAGCTAATTAACAATTTAAAACAAAATATAATTGGTACACTTTCCCTTATATTTCACAAAGTTCACAAAACTAAGTTCCAGTTATATTACATGAAAAAATACTAACAAGTGAAATCTTCAAAATTTCACCCTTTTAGCCTTTCAGAATTATTTCAGAATACCCCCCCAAAAAAATGTATTTTATGATATAAAAAGATCTCCTGAAAATAGAGCTTTGTTGGCTATACCTTTAACATACAGTTAAATCAGAGTCTACAGCTTCCTAATGACTTCTAGTTTCAAGAGGGCAAGAACATGTTTTCTAAAATACCTGATTTGGACTTCAGAATAACCTGAATAGTATGTCCATCATTGGTGACTTCACAGTCCCGGCAGACCACATAATTTGGAGAGAGGCGGACATCCAGCAGGGAGGGGTCATACCTAGCTTCTCTTGAATTTAGGTTAATAGGAGACTGGTATTCCCCGTTAGCATCAGGAAACACCAAGCCCCACTCAACACCTAAGAACACAATGAAAAGAAAAAGAAAAAAAAATCAGGAACAGGTTAAGAAAAAAAAAAAGTAAGTTAAAGTAAAATTTAACATGTGAAAACGAGTTTAAAGTCTCATCACTTTTGATGTTATGAAGAGGGTTTTGACTACCACAGCTCTACAAATGAAATATGGTGTATGTGAATTTTTGCACTCATTATATAAATGAGCTGATATTATCAAATACACATACAAAATCCTTAACTAATGAATTTGTTAAGACAATCTGTATTTTGTCTACATAGATATAATAATTAATGGCTCTAGAAAATTAAAGTCATCTCTAAGTGACTATACAAAAAAATACCACACACAAAAAAAAATTCCTGGACTCTTTAGTTCAATTATGTTCAGGACTTAGGAAATAACCTGGAACTTTCAACATGCTTAGTGAGAGCCAAGAACTACCACTGTCTTATCAGAAATGCAAACTCAGTGAAGTGTGCATAAGGATAACTAGATATACATAAATGTACTCCTTCCAAATATTTTACAATTAAAACTGTGCATTCTATATTTCAGTGTATGTAGTAAACATCAGCGCTAAAGGTGAGCTATTGAGAACCCTACGTCTTCGGGGATAAATTTGGGAAACTAAATTTCTCTTTGATAAAAAGTCAACCCCTTCTCCCAAGCCCACAGATCCAGTTTGAAACTTAGGACAAGTTTTCTAAAGACTTGAGCGTTGTTACTATCCGTCATGAAAAGACTACAAAGCAATAAATAGTTTCACTGCCATCTCAAAATATTAATATGTACCGCGACTCTTCTTGGCTACTCTTTTAAGTCCCCGCTGCCTCACAGCAGCAGGTGCGAACCATCACGGGGCAAGAAGGCCAAACACCTACACCCTCCCAGGTCACGAACCTGGGCGGGCGGCGGGAGAACGCAGGCGGCGGGCACGCCTCCCTGAAGCGCCTCTAGCCTTGAAAGACGGCAGTGCCCCCGTGAGAAAGTGTGGACGCTCGCGACAACCGCAGGGCGCAGAGCCACGCGCTCCGCGGGACACTAACGCGCCGACCAGTGCCCGACACCCAGACGCGTAATGGGTTACCTTCCTCGTAGCCCCACTCCACGCCCTCCTCCTCTTCCTCTTCATCCTCCTCCTTCTCTGGGAAGGCGACGGTATCTTCGATGAAGCTCAGGTCAGCCATAAGAAAGTCCCTGGTGTCTCAGCTCTCTCTCTCCACAGGTGACTGCGCCTGGGCAGGACCAGCGCCCCGAGGTGCGCGTGGGAGTGTGTGTGTGCGCGCGCGGGGGCGCAGCGTGGTGTGAGTGTGTGCGCGCTGCCGTGGGCGTGGGAGCGCGTGCGAGAGAGTGTCCGCGGGCGCGGGGCGGGCAGTCGTACAGCCGGCCCGGAGCTTTGCAGCAACCTGCCGCGCAGCGCGCCTGGACTCTGGGTGCAGACGGGGAACCGCGGCAGGACTGGGAGCAAGCGACCGGCGATTTATAAACCCGGCTGAGGCGTGTCTGCACGCGAGGATCCGCCCCCTTCGCTCAACGGCCTGGGGACCCACAGAGCGAACTGCAGGAAACAGGGCTTTGGGACTATGGACGAAAGCACAGAAGCAATATGGGCACCCCACGTCCTCTCCGCGAGGTGGTCCCCACCACCCCCGAGTCTTCTTTTCAAAGCCCCCCGCGAATCTCCTAAAGTCAGCCCTCGGGGACCCCATACCCCGGCCTGGAACACACGCTCTCTTCATTTATTTATTTCATCTTTACTCCAGGAAATACCAAAAGAGATTTGGAGAGGAGAAAGATGGAGGGAAGAAATGACAACTGAAAGACCCCTTAACAAAATTTTTAAAAAGGATTTCTCCCCCAGAATCTTTTTATTACTCAGCATTTACTTTTTAATTCATCCTTAGAACACAGTGAAAACGAACGTGGAAATTTTTCTGAGATAGTTGGGATTCCTAAAAACATTTCAGGGAAAAAAAAAAGATAGTTTTAATGTCGAAACGAAGATATTCTTGGAGGGAAATTGTGCATGTAAAAGTATTATTTCAAAGGCAAAACTAGTGAAGTGCTTGTAGCTTCGGAGTCTCGGCTGCTACAGGCTCACCTTGCTGTGTACACAGCTCCCAATCACTTAGTGAAACCGTGTAAATAATGAAATGCACACATTGCATAACAGGAACTTTCCTGATCCAAAGCGGTCACATTGTTACCTTTTGAACATGCTTAATGATTTCAGCCCCCTTTTCCAGTGCCCTATTCGGTGGTAAACCCTAAACTAGTTGACTCCACATTTTTAGATTTATATGCCTAATAAGCTCAGATTCTAGCCTTAAGTACAATTTGTTTTTCATATGCCCCCATGCACACGCCAAAATGTCTATTAGTAATTTGAATAGTCTTTGTTCTAAATCATGCTATCCTTATGAATGCTTAATTTTTCAAAAGGATAGAGATGATTGATTTGGGGAATGTTTGGATTCTGTGCTCCTGTCCTTCAATGCCTGCTCAGCACCTTCACTTAAAAAAAAAAAAAAAGTCTAAATAATTTTTTTTAAAAGCTGGGGGGCTGGGAATATATATGGCTCATAGGTTGAGTGCCCCTGGGTTTAATCCTAAGTGTCAAACAAAAAAAAAAAAAAAAAAAGTCACATCACAAGCCTATTTCAAACCTCTCCAGAAAGTGGGTTGGGTCTGAAACTGAGAAGAACTCAAATCAATCAATTCTACCACTTTCTGGAAAGTTCAGTAAAGTAAGTGAAAACTGCTTGCCAACTTAATTTTAAGATTTCAAACATTTGTGTAATTTCTCTTTCCCCTTACTGCAAACACTAAAGCTGTTCTCATTCACAGGATCAAACCAGTCTGAGACTAAATCCAATCTTCATTCACTGTCTTCTGGGGCTTCTTCATTGGACACTCTCTCTCTTTTTTGCAAGTCAGTAAGCCTGAGATTAGCCGAAGTCTACCCTAAAGACATAGCTATTAAAACTAGTGAGTACTACCAAAACTATTAACCACTTTCCATGGAAGTTCTTCTAAAAGATTTCACTCATTTTTCTTTACTTGGAAACATTTTTTGCAATGTTGAACTTGTTTCGAGTTTCTTTTTAGAAATATGTTCACCCATTAATCAAACCCTACAGCTAATGAACCCCATATAAAGGAGGACTTCAGAAATAAAATTACTTTACCAATCTGAGCTTATACAGCAATAATTATTTCCTTTTTTTCCTCAGGTGTACATAGATGTGATATTGTAACCATTGTGTAACCACCAATTACATTTAAAGAAAGTATCACATAAACATAAAGATGCTTACCAAACCAGGAGACAGAAAAATCACGTAATCAAACAACTGAGTTTTCCTCAAGTAAAGGGTCTGTGTGCATATTTACAAAGAATAGGCTGAAAGATTGAATTGTTAATATTGAATTTTGCAGCTAATAGACAATTTTGCATATAGCTGGCAATGCATTGCCATTCAAAACTGCAGTTGCCTACTGGACAAATATTTGTTGGCACATATTTGTTCTTTCTGGACTTTTTAGCATCGTTTGCATAATGTTGCTCCTACAAGCAAGCACAGGATACCCTGTCCAGCCACATATGAGCCACTCTACTCTGCATCCAAATATTCAATTAACAATCTTAATTGCTTTGAGACTGTGTGCTTCAGATTTCTGCTAATTAACAGCACCTTAAGACCTTCTCTCCTTAGGTCCCTGTACTATATTACCACCAAAGATGGAATTTCTATTTCTAGTTATTATAAAATGTCTGTCACACAGATCTGTCACACAGGTCTGTCACACACCTAAACACACAGATCAAAGATATAGGCCAATTCTTGGATTTACAAAATAGAACAAGCACATCTAAATCCAATATCAGAGAATCTAAAAATATTCATGCTCTATATTATGAATGTAAGTGTTCTACATATCCCCTTGTATGATATTTAATCCCTTACAATGTAATATCATATTTGATCCTTTAAATTATTCTCGTATTACTCACTTTTAGTGTTTATATACTAAGGTCAAACTGCATCAGTAGAACAATTTCTTAGAACTAAGTCCTATATAACTAATTAGCATTATACTAAGAGAATATAAATAGAAATATCTAAAAGGACAAACTAATCTAGATATCAGAGGAACAGAGGTACTAAGAGTGATTCACAGCACCTGATAACCTACATGGCCCTCTCCTCCCAATCTTTTCTCACCATATCCTACCTTACCAAGGCTTTCTTCTCCTAGTGGTAAGTTTGGCCCTCAAATAATCATAAACAATGATTACCTTCCTCTCTCTGTCTGCACCTTATGTTCTGGGAACACCTAGAGGGCAGAGCTAATCTGTGCATATCAAATGCGTTCTGTCCAGATTGTAATTCACAAACTTCAGCCATAAATGGATGGCTGTATTCCTTCCTGTGCACTGCTCTGCACTAGACACTGCAGAGACCCCAAACTGAATAAAACACTGTTTCTACCCTCGAAGAATTCAGTTCTCTGGATGAGTGGGAAGTGGGTGTAAATAATTAACTACAACATAAGATATGTGAAATGTGTTAAATAGAGATGCAAGTACGACTAAATCTAAGAAAGATGGGAAAGATCCAGAAGGGTTTCCTAGAAAAGATGTCATTTAGGCAAATGTAAAAAGATGAGTAGAATTTGAGTTGGCAATAAATGAGTACAGAACACTCCAGGCATGAACAATGATGCTAGATCATGAAAGTGCTCAATGTGAATCCATGTTCTCCATTAAATGCCTTCTGTGATCTGCCAAAACCAATTCAGACACAGTAAAAATGTGTCCCTCTATAGGTTTACACCCGATGCAAAACACTCCCCTCATTGTTCATTCATCTGGTTTTCTTTTTGTTATTGTTGTTTGTTTGGTTTGGTTTTGTAAGGAAAGACATCAAAATTTTCCTTGGTATACTTTCCATTCCTGAAGATTTCAAACTTTGTTCATAAGAAAAGAAGTGTTGATTCTGATAATTTCTTTAGTCGGTTATAAACCTTCTTTTGTTTGACGACTTCTTAGTCTTTCTTTGTCTTCAGAAACATCAGCTTATAATCTTAGGGCTGTATTGCTATGGTGTTATTCCTCACATTTGCTGCCCCTTTGCTGCTTGGTCATGTGACCTTCTTTGACCAACTAAATATGAGTAGAAGTAGCATATGTCATTTTCTTTAGCAGAAAGCTTTAGGAATTATTGTGTTTTCAGCATTTTGTGTGCTCCCTTAAAATACCCAGTCCAAGAAAAGCACTATTCTTTCATCTAAATCCCTGGAATGAACATGATCATAGATAAAAGCCATAGCCAACTAGAAGTTGATGTGTAATGTCAGTGAGATATAAACCTTTTTTGTAAACCACTGAGACTTGGGGGCCATTTGTTACAGCAGCAAAACCTAGTAAAAGCTGACTATTACAGTAGCCCATCAGGTAAAGATGAGTTGGAAGGTAATTTATATTTGCTCAGATTTTTTTGTGTGTCTATCTTTTTTAAAACTAAACGGTCTAAAACAATGCCCTTATATTCACCTTGAAAATTTCCTAGAAATCCTTATCGTGACTAGGATTATCATAGCTTCCTAAAAGAATGGGAAAGCCCTCACCCATAAAAAAATCCCTGTCACCTCTAAGGGAAAATTGATCACAGTTCTCACTACTTCTCTGAGAAGTAAAAGTTATGCCTGAGGCCTATACTCACCCACTTCAGTGCCAAAATGACTGGTACTGAAGTTGGAATGTTTGAGATCATAACACCAGTGACTGATAAACATATGATTATCACAAACAAAACTTTCTCTGGGAGCCTTTTGCTAAACAAAACCCCCACCCTGCTGGTTAAAGTGCCTCTTCTTAATGCTTGCATAATACACAGATCTCTAGCCCTGAAATTCAGATTATATTTTAAAAACAAATTTCCTGATTACCATCTTATCTAATAGACAATGAACTCCCCAAGAGCAAGGGGTTCATCTTTTTTCTCTTTGTATCCTTCATGCAACACAAGATAGGCACTTAGGAATTAGTTTGCTTATGTCACCAGCCATTCAGTGACCTGATCAGCCTTTAAAAATATGAGTGCAATGAAAGTTATCGTTACTAGGTGGAAGCTTTCAGGGTGCAGTGGGGCCTCAGAAAGGGAGTGGTCAAGTTTACCTGGTGGCTGGCGTGTCAATAGGATCTTCATAAAGGAAGTGACACGTGAGCCGTCTTAAAAGATAAGCAAGTACTCCTTTGCCCACAGAGGGGAAAGGAAGGAAGGTAAGGAAGTGGACCTTCCACTCCCAAGGAAAAGCAAACAACAAAAACTTGGATACAGCAGCCAGTGTAGGTTCACTTCTGAAATC